GGGATTGGTCCTGGATGGGTCCAGGATTGATCCAGGAGTTCTGGGATTGATTCAAGATTGATCCAGAATCGATCCAGGAGTTCTGGGGTTGGTCCAGAATTGGTCCAGGGGATCCAGGATTGATCCAGGAGTTCCGGGATTGGTCCAGAATTGGTCCAGGATTGATCCAGGAGTTCTGGGATTGATCCAGGATTGATCCAAAATTGATCCAGGAGTTCTGGGATTGGTCCTGGAATGATCCAGGAGTTGTGGGATTGGTCCAGGATTGATCCAGGAGATCCAAAATTGATCCAGGTGTTCTGGGGTTGATCCAGGATTGATCCAAAATTGATCCAGGAAATCCAAAATTGATCCAGGAGTGCTGGGGTTGGTCCTGGATCGGTCCTGGATTGATCCAGGAGTTCTGGGATTGATCCAGGAGATCCAAAATTGATCCAGGAGTTCTGGGGTTGGTCCAGAATTGATCCAGGAGATCCAAAATTGGTCCAGGAACTCCAGAATTGGTCCGGGATTGATCCTGGATTGGCCCAGGAGATCCAAAATTGATCCAGGAGATCCAAAATTGATCCAGGGGATCCAGAATTGGTCCAGGAGTTCTGGGATTGATCCAAGATTGATCCAGGAACTCCAGAATTGACCCAGAATTGATCCAGGAGTTCTGAGATTGATCCAAAATTGATCCAAGAGATCCAGAATTGGTCCAGGAGTTCCGGGATTAATCCAGGATTTTTCCAGGAGTTCTGGGATTGATCCAGGATTGATCCAAGAGATCCAAAATTGATCCAGGAGTTCCGGGATTGGCCCAGGAGTTCCGGGATTGATCCAGAATTGATCCAGGAGTTCTGGGATCCCTTCCAGAACCATCCAGAACTTCTCCAGAACCTCTGGCATTTCTCCAGAACCTTCAGAACATCTCCAGGACCTCCAGAACTTCTGGAATTTCTCCGGAATCGCTGCCAGGACCCGTCTGGATCCATCCAGAACCTTCCAGGACCTTCCAGGACCTTCCAGGACCTCCAGAATTTCTCCAGAATCGCTGCCAGGACCTGCCTGGATCCATCCCAACCCTTCCAGAACCTTCCAGGATTTTCCCAGAACCTCTGGAATTTCTCCGGAAGCGCTGCCAGGACCCATCTGGAATTTTCCAGAACCTTCCAGAACCTTCCAGGACCTCTGGAATTTCTCTGGAATCGCTGCCAGGACCTGTCTGGGATCCATCCCAACCCTTCCAGAACCTTCCAGGACCTCCAGAACCTCTGGAATTTCTCCGGAATCGCTGCCAGGACCCACCTGGATCCACCCCAACCCTTCCAGAACCTTCCAGGACCTCCAGAACCTTCCAGAACTTCTGGAATTTCTCCAGAATCGCTGCCAGGACCCGTCTGGAACCTTCCAGAACCTTCCAGGACCTTCCAGGACCTTCCAGGACCTCGGGCCCGGCTCCGGGAGGGATTTTGGGATTTTGGGATTTTGGGATTTTGGGATTTTAAGCTTCACTCTTGGTCTATTTTTAAGCTCAGATGGTTTCAAAGATATTTTTTTAAGAATCCTTGTCCACGGACGCCCTTTCGGGAATTTTCCTTTTTTATTTTTATTTTTATTTT